ATAAGAACAAAGATACATCATGTACAGGTGCAAGCACCCAAAGATAAATGTAAATATATTCTATACCTAAAATGTACCAATAAAAGAATTGAAGCAAAAAAAAAAAATTCAACTACTTGTGGCAGGGACAAGAGGCAGAGTTAGCACTGCATTCACCTACTCCTACACAACATTCTGTTGTTGCCTATGTAGTTTATGCTCAAGCACTGTGTAATCAAGTTATGAAAAATATCAAAAATACTGTTAAAAATAATGTTAAAAGTTTATAATATTGTGGGGCTGCATTACTAGCTGTCCAGGGCTGTATATAGCCTGCAGAGCACATCCAATTTAGACCATTATACATTTAGAAAGTCCCAAAGTTAATTTAAAGAACACAGACAGAATAGTCCTGTAATGATCCTATAGTAATTCTTTGCTAACTGGAAAATGCAGAACTCTTGCTTCTATTACTCGATCTTACCTTCAATCGACTCATACTTCATGATTTATCATTAAATTTCCTATCCTATAATATAGTCTATACATTAGATGCTCTTGGGATAGATCTGTGTGTGTGTGTGTGTGTGTGTGTGTGTGTGTGTGTGTGGTACCGGAGATCAAACTCGGGTCCTTGCACTTGCAAGGCAGGCAGTGGAACCACTGAGCTAAATCCCCAGCCTGGGATAGATTTTTTTAAAAATACAAGTTTTTGCTCTAATATGACACATACATTCCCACAGGCATATGGGAAAAATTGAGTTGGCAGACAACTCAAAGACAGAACCTTAAAAAATAGTTACAACTCTAATAAAATACTACCATAATTAAAAAATATATGGCACATTGTGTACAAAGAAATACTAGAGTAAATGGATTTTTTTTTTAAACTTGAGATAAATTAATGAAAGATTGAGGCTGCTGAGCTACAGAGACAAGAGGCCAATGTATGAGGAACAGGTAGAAACATACAATATGACAGCATGTGGTTAAACTGAGCAAAGAATGTTTGGTGAATGGTCATCACATATAGTATAATTTTTCTGTGCTGTTCAGTTGTGCTGACATAGTTTGACCTCAGCTGCTGTAGTACATAGTGGCACAAAATAATACAATCAATTATGAGCTAGCTTGTATTGCAGAAACAAGGCAACTCACTACTCAAGAGAAAGAGGAGAACTCTCCATGTAGGAAAGGAAGGTGTTTACCTTGATAGGTCTGGTACATAGTTAAGCACCAAATAAATTTCAGTGGTGGCTACCTTTACTAGTGCTACTTCTAATGATGGTAATTAAGATCTCTGAGGCAGATAATTATGGCTTACCTAGTTTCTATCCCAGGCACCCTCCCCCTACACCCCCCCTTTTGTATTGCTAAAAGAATTCTGAATATTTTGCTCAGTCATCTACTTCTCAGGAAAAGTGGTCTTAACCCCATTTTAGGGGCAAACCAATTACAATAATTCTGTTCCTTTTACTAACGATGGTTTAAGGCTGGGCAGGTGGCCTTCTGGCCAAAAAACAAAACAAAAAGCAAAAACCAAGGAAGAGAAGGAAGGGAAGGAAAGAAGGAAGGAAGCAAAGGAAGGAAGGAAGGAAGGAGGGAGGGAGGGAAGAAGGAAGGAAGGAAGGAAGGAAGGAAGGAAGGAAGGAAGGAAGGGGAAGGGGAAGGGAAGGAAAGGAAGGGAAAAAGAAAAATATGAAATAAGTCCAGTAAGAAGGATGGGAAGAGACCTGGAACAACTTTCCTTATACCTAAGAAATAGATACTGGAACAGTTTCTCTTCTCTTCCTCTGAATATTGACATGGCAGAAATATTTTGGTGTTCTAATGATCAACTCATCTTTTTGTGATTCCACACTGCAGATAACAATATATGTGGATATTTGAGTCCCTTATATAAAATAGCATAGTATTTCCATGTAACTTATGTAGATTCTCCCATACACTTTAAATCTTATTTCTAGATTACTTATAAAGTCTAATACAAGGTAAATAATTATTACATTGTATTGTTTAGGGAATATTGATGAGAAAAAATTGAATATATTCAATACAGATGCAATTTTTAAAAAATATTTTCAATACAAGTTTGGTGGGATCTGCTAGAATGAAACCCACAGAAATGGAAGGCCAACTATATTTTTTAAGTGAATTAAGATTGATTTGTTTTGATAATTTCATATGTAATATTACAATCTTCTTTATAATGATTACTTTCTATAGCATAGGTAGACTATCCTTACACCATATAATATGGTTGCCATTAGCCATATATGATATTCAAATTTAAATTAATGAAACTTTAAAATTCTGTTTTTCAGTTACACTAACTACATTTCAAGTTCTCAACAGCTAATTGAGCTAGTGGCTATGAGGCTGGACAATGCACATATGGCATATTTCCATCATAAAGAAAGTTCTATTGAAGAGTATGGCCTAGATTAGGTAGCCTGTAGAATTAAAAATTTTATATATCAGATTATATTAAAGCAGGCCCAGCTTATACAAATAATGCCCAGACAAAACCTAAGCAGCATAGAAAACAAATTTTCATATGGTAACTCAATTCCAAATTTTGAATAACTAAAGTCAAAATTTGTAAAGAAAACATCATCAATTATTTTAAAAGACAAGATAGAAATGCTAACCCAAAAATAAGTTCTACCATTTGATATTGTAATGCAGCATATGTGTAAAATGCAACATGTCTAAAATGTTTGGCTCTTTTTTCTTTTTTGGCTATTATACATTATTTGTATTATATCATACCTATATCATTAGGGCCTAAACGTGAGTCTACTCTTAAAATTATTATAACAATGGAAATATGAATTGAGAGGTGCATTTGAGTTCCTCTTACCCATCCAATACAGTAAGTATTCACTTCTGCTATTGTTGTATAAAACCTCTGTTCCTGAGACTCATGCCATCCATCCAAATCACTATCTGACTTAATAAATGAGGGCCATTCTCCCTCATTTATTAAGGAGTTTGATACTTAATTCACACTTTCAAGTTATAATATCATCCAAAATAACTCCACTATCCACTTGGAAGACTCCTAGATCTCACTAGCTATAAAGGTCTTTGAATTCCTTCAACTCCATGCACAGGCATGCATTTCTATGGCCATAATCCAGATTCATCATCATTGAGAATATTCTTATTGTCTTATCTCAAATTCAATCAGATTTCATTCTCTGATCTCAACTTCTATCTTCCTCACCCTGATTTTCCTATTATACTGTTTCTTTTATTTTTATGGCATTTTGAAGTTAAGTTCTTAATTTTCTTCATGTTATCCCTCTTTGGACTCCACTCTTCCCTAGTATAGAGGCTATGGCTCTGCACTTTATTCTCATCTGTAACCTGAAATACCTCTTGAATTGTTTAATATTCTGCTGTACTCTTGTTTTTCTCCAATCTTCTCATCTAAAACACAAATCTAAGGCTCTTTAAGTGATTTCTTAATGCCTCAAAATAAAGATCATACTTTTAAACAGATAGTCCTTACATTTAATTTTCCTTCTGTGTAAAATCTCGTCACTTTCTCCTTTTCGGCTCAATTCCCATTTGTCTTTCAGGATTCTAGCTTTCAATGGAAAAAAAATCCACAAATCCCTAATTAAGCCTCAGTGTCAATTCTATGTGCTTTTATAGTATCTCATACTTATTTCATCATATCATTTATCATACAGTGTTATGATTTTCTGCATTTAAGTGATTTTTCAGGACATTATAAGGTCCTTGAGGGCAAAAATGATCTTTCTCACTCTACAACACTCTAATATTCAATAGGCATTTAATAATTTTTTGAGTGAATTAATAATGTTGGTAACTTAAAAAAATCATTATAATTGAAGCTACATTTAATTGCTCTGAGAGATTCAAATTTAATAGACTGAAATATGAGAAATTAGAGTATATTAGAAGGCAGAAGAAAATAGAGCAGGGTAAGAAAGATTAGGACCTCCAGAGTAGTAAGGGTTGTCTATTAAAAGTCTAATCAAGTAGTAAGATATGGCCCTCAAATCCATGGAAGAAGTCTGGGCTCAAGCTTTGCGGGTCAAATGGCATACAAATGACATCAAAAGCACTGATTGGATTAAGTATAGAGAAGTCTTTTGAGAAATTCATTTCAAAAGAGAGCAAAGAAATGGAAAAATAACTGGCATGCTTTGGATTCTTATTGAAAAATACAGAAAGGAACATGTCAGAACAATCATCTATGTATTTATGAAATCACTAAGACCTAAGACTGGTAAGATTGGAAAGTATGAGAATGAGTGATAGCAGGTTAATAGTCTATCATGAAATTAAAGGAGGGAGGGAGGGTAGAAGAATGACCTGAAAGAAGTTATGGGGTACAAAGATATCTACTTCCAGGCCCAGCCTTCTTGAGCTAAGGGAAAAACAGAGCCCCCAGTTTGGAACCTACAGAAGAAACGGTAGATTCAAAGGAAAGCCAGTTTCCATTATAGCAAGAAAGTGACTAGAAGTAAAATTCAGATAAATCAGGGTATAAAATATTGCTGATGATGGATCATGAACTCCTGTGGGCACAGAAGAGCTTTAGTTGGACAAGCAAAAGAAACAGAACAGAAGAAGTGATAAAAAGTCTCACGGGACTGGATGGCAAGAGATAAGGTATGATGTGAATATGGGGGCTTCTTTCAATGTCAAACATGAAATAAAGAGTTAATAAGATCAATCCTGGTGGACTCAAGAAAGACAGTGATCATTATGAGTGTTGAGGGACTTGGCAGTTGAGGGTGTATGTGGCTCTCTTTTGATACCTGTTGGGGAAGAATATGCTTGCTCCTAGTGCTGGAGTTCCCCTCCACCCATGGAAGTGTCGATGGAGTTGAGGACAGCTCAATTTATTGTCAACCATTCAGGAAATTCATATGACCCTCATCCACATAGATGTCTGATCAAATGGTTTACAATTTTAAAAATTTCCCTGCTCTAGGGAAGAAGTAAGCTAATTTTTCATAGCAAAGTTCTGTTTTACTTACGTCTGTGTTACAGGAGCGATAGCGTTTCCTTTCCCCAAGGCAGTATTTTCCACCACCTGAAGGTCTGAAAAAACATTTTGTTTAACACCTGAATATATCTATCCACATAAAAAGTACATATATTGTTTAATGAAGGCAAATAAAATTTACTTTAATAAAATATAAAATGTGACTTTTTTATTAATTATTAAAATAATGCTGGCAATTGCTATAATTATGATTGTTGAATAAAAATACTAAGACAATTTACTATGAGTAGTCTTTAAGACTTAATTGTCATGATTCACATTCTTAAGAAACTTTCTGCGTATTTTTTAATTACCATAGCACATATTGAATTTAACACAATGAGATTTAAAAAACACTTATTTATAATGAAAAGCCATTTAAAAGCTATAACTTGACACTAGATGTTTACCAAGAAGGAATGAAATGTTTGCTTTTCATCCAGAAGTGAAGCAAAGAGAGAACACTAAATATTTTTCTAGAAATAGCTCCAGTTCAATGTAAATAATATAGAAATGAATTTCCATCTCATCTCGAATATTAATAAATTTTAAAAATTAAATCCAAAACTCAGATGGCTTTGCATTATATAAATCTTTATATTGCATCCAAATTAATGAAAAAAGCAAGATGTCAAATATTTGAGTGACATAAGTTAATCTTTAAAGTATTTAACATTGGGGAAAGGGATATGCTATTACTTGGGCATGGAATTATCAAATGGAAAAGAACTAACTTCTTTTTAAAAGAGGTTCAGGTTATTTCCTTACATATGTGAATATATTATTTATCATAGAGTTTTATACTTTGGTTTTTTTGGTTTTGGTGGGGGGTTTTTTTTTTGTACCAGGGATCGAACACAGGACCTTGTGCTTTTGAGGCAGGCACAGTGCCACTGAGCTAAATCCCCGGCTCCCTACTTTGGGTTATTAAGTTACAACAGGCTGAAGTTGAATTTAGATTAATTATTCTGCACTTGCTTAAAAAGGATCAAGTTGACTGGTATCAATGAATAATTAAAGCTATATTTTAAATATATTTCGAATGCCAGTGAATGGTGACTCTAACAAAGGAAAGGAAATTGCTCAGTTTGAACAAGATAGAGAGAAATGTGTTGATAGTACAAAAACAAATGTATTGGTCATAGTGGGGATAGCAGTAACAAAGTTTAAGAATGGGTAATAGGAACCTCTGTTTAGCAGGAAGGTAATAATTGATAGAAAGTGGGAGAATGGAAACAACTAATTTAAAGGGGAACAGTTTTGAGCTAAAGGGAAGAAAAGAGAAGAAACAAGATATCTGGAGAGAGAAACCAAAGAGGAAAGTCCTAAGTTAAAATGGGAACAAATAAAAAATAAAAATAGGTATCTTTTCTCCCAGAGTGGGAGGAAGTAGACTTGTCATAACATTATTCTGCACCAAATACAAGCTGAGAAAGAAGGCCTTCAAGTTCAGTTCTAGACAAAAATGGGCACCTGACATGCAGCAGTATAGTCTCAGGGAAGACGAGAAGAAAATACAGCTAAAGGAACAGTCCACCTGTAATTGGCATTGGAGGAAGGCTAAAGCAATAGAGCTAGCAAAGAATACTGATGGGCTGGCCTTTTGCCTGGGGGACTCTGGCTAGAGAAAAGAGTAGTGAGAGAGCCCCAATCTGACCTGCATAAAACAATCTTGGGGAGAAAAGTGGTGGCAACTTTGGAAGATGATTAATGGGGGCATGTGAATGGAAACTATTTTAACACATGGGCGATATTCTTTTCATTGTGATTTGTGATCAGAATCAAGGCATTTCAACCCTTGAAGTGCTCTCCTTGGTCCTTTTAATACTAATGTAGCAGTAATAATTTTATGTGACATGTGAAAAGACCTTAGGTTTCCTGGGAATAATGATAATGTAGCATAAACCAGACCTGCATTCATCCATAATTCAGTAGTTTTTGGAGAAGGAAATCTATCTGATTATTACTAGATTAAAAGTCTGGCTTACCAAGGGCAGATACACAATGCTTTTCTATTTTTTTATTTTTATTTTTAGTAACACAGTAAGGGGAAAGGAAGAAAGCCTGTCTAACAAAGCTCTTCCACTTTCTTGTTCCTATTGCTTGCTCTGAAGACAAGCATTTGGCTCACTAGAGAAACGTTTTTACAGATAACATGTGAAACCGCAGCTTTGAATCATTTCCAACTGTGTCTTTTTGTTGGCGCTGGCTTACTTTAGCTACTTACGCTGGACTGTCACAGTGTCTTAGGGATGAGGAGACGCCTCCCCCGCAGGTCCTGCTGCACTCTCCCCATAGTGACCAGGGACCCCAGCCCCCATCTATGCTCTGGGGCCAAGTGCCAAATGGAACACAATCTCCCTGATAACACCACTGCAAGATTTCACAGAAAACACAGAATTAGCTTTTAGGCAGATAAAGCCAACAGGATAGAAATACAAAAGGGTCAGATAATGACTAATTTTAGGCATTAGCATTCTCAAAATAGATAACATGGTTCTTCAACTGTGTTTAGACATTGGTGAAGGTGCATGTGATTTGCAAATTATCTTTAGCTAGACCATAATTTATAGATCTCTAACATCTACCATGAGTTCTAAAAAACCTGATTTTGCCTTCTTTTTCTCTGTTTCTTCTCCATACTTTAATGTTTCTCATTATAGAGCAAGCTACAGGCTTCAAAGTCTCTTTAGATACTTCAGCATTTAAAAAATTTTCTTTTATCGCTTCTCGGCCTTTTGGCTAAGATCAAGTGTAAAAAATTTTCTTTATATTCATCCCACTATTATGAGATTCATGGAATGATAACGCAATATGGAAAGTTCCTCAGTAAGGAATTTTTATGATGGTAATTGCTCTTTCTGTAATAAAAAAAAACTGGTTGAGGCTACAATAGTAAAAGAATGTGTTGTGGCATTTCATCTATATGAGCACTGCAGACACAATAAAAGTAATGCCAAGACTCTAGGGACTGGGTACATACACAGACTAGCCATGTGTATGGCCTCTGCATGAGCATGTGTACTGGAATTCTGCTCAGCTTTACTCTTGGCAATAAACCACACATACTGCACCTAAGTAGAAAGCCAGGAATAATTTACTGAAACGCATAACATCGCATAATCAGCTCATAACTCTAGCATGATAAATCTTATTTGCAGAATATGGCAAAACAAAGTCTTTTTAAAAACCAAGCATTTGTAGGCTTTTTATCAAACATTGACAAGCTCAACTGATGTTATAAAAGTCTTATTTTATGAATAATTATAGGAACTATTATTAGAGTTGAGGGTCAGCAATGTTAGATATTAAATAAAAATTCAAACTTACATGAAAATACGAGATTATGACATGTGATGCTAAAATTACTGATTCATTACATTAATTCTATCACCAAGTCTGTTGATTTTTTCCTCCAAGATATATGTGGAATTCTTTCACTTTTCACTTTCTTCACTGCTACCACCCTAGAAAAACTGGCAAATGGAATAGCTTCTTACCTGGTCACTCTGCCTCTATTTTTTTCTATAATTTATTTTACATAAAACATTCAAATATAACTTTTTAAAATGTATTATCACATCTTGTCACTTTTTTTTTCATAAAAGACCTCGGTGGTTTCCTACTTTTCTAAACTCTGGCCAATAGCAGACATAGTGATGTAGCCTCTGCATCCTTCTTCAGCTTCAATCTTCTTTGCACATTGGCTTACTTTCTTTTTTTTTTTTTTTTTTGATACACAAAGTTTTTCCCTCCTTAGCACAACTGCATCTGGTGATTTAGTCCTCTAGACTGTTTTGGGTGCTCTCTTATCATTTAATACTATTTTAAGTTACTCTGTTTATCTTTTAAATTCTTTGCTTCTGCTTCTTAGAATGTAATTGCTTTGAGGCCCACATATGGCTATTTAAATTAATTAAAAGAAAAGATTCAAGTATTCAGGCCCATGAGCCACAATTCAAGGGGGCCACAGCTACATGTGGATAGTGGCTACTATGTTGGACAAAGAAGATACAGAGCATTTCCATTATCAGTGTTTTACTTGGCATGTAGTAAGCATGCAACAAACGTTTATTAAATAAATAAATACTTAGGTAAATTATGGAATTCTGCATCATGTTTTGGTTACTACATATCAGGAAAAGACTAGAGTATTAGAGGGTTAAGAAATTCAAATTCATATTTGGTTCCCTGACTATGGGTAAATAATTGGATCTCAGTGATTTGTTTTAGTAGGTGTAACAACATAAAACTTTTTTAAAAAATTTTTTTCTGGTACTGGAGATTGAACTCAGGACCTTGCACTTGCCAGGCAGGTGCGGTGCCACTGAGCTACATCCCTGGCCGGCCCCCAATTTTTTTTAATATGGGTACTGAGTAGTGATCATCTGCCTGTAAAAAGTTAAGTAAGAGGAAGTCAAAATTTGGTTGGCTGTTAAGAACACTCTGACCCCAACACTGACTGATAAATATTAAAATCAGAGGCACATGCCTATAATCCAAACACTCTGAGAGGCTGAGACAGGAGGATTATAAATTCTGGCCCAGACTATACAATTTAGGGAATTAGCAAGACCTTGACTCAAAAAAAAAGGGGGGTATGAAGAAAGACTAAATGATTGAATTTTGGACAATGAAAATTACCATGAAGAAAAAACAATCACATACCCAGAATGATGAAGAGTCAGTCAGCTAAAGCAATAATATAGTAGCCACTCTGGGAGTAGGGCTGCTGAGAGTGTATACTTGAAAGGAAAAGAATGTTCCTCCTGCCACTTTTATGACTTACCCGGTCGCTGTAGAACATCAAATATTTTTATAATGATATATCAATTACGTTAGATCTTTACCCATACAAAAGTCAGAATACTGGGCCAAATAATTTCCAGTTTTGCATTTTTGTTACTACAAGTAGCTGTGTGGAAGAATATTTATGTTTGCACCTATTTTTAAGGCAAATAACTGAGCAGTGTAGTTCTGGCCAGGAATTACTGATTTGCAATGAATGGAAACTGACACTAGAACCAGCTCAAATCATAAAATGTGCCTAGTTTTTCAAGTTGGAGACTTAGCATTACTGGCTTTGAGTAACATAAAAGCTTGATTTTACATTTATTTTATATAAACATGAGTTAGATCTAAAGCTTAAGTGGACTTCAGGATTCATGTGGCCTAAACATTTCATTTTTTCAGATGAGGAAACAAGAATCTGAAAGAGATGACTTGCCCAACATCACTTATTGGCAGAAAGGGATTATCTGTCCAAAAATACACTAAATCAGTGGGAAAAAGATCAACTGGAGACATAGGATGCCTGAAGACATTTAAGAATAATATACTGAATTATTTTTACTCCATAAAATATAAACAAAAACCACTAGAAAGATTAAAAAAACCACTCAGCTACACACCATGTGTTATTTCAGACTACCTTGAGTATACTAATAATTTGTAGAGAAATTTTTCACATTTTTCATCTTCAGGGGAAAAACGAATTATAAGCCCACAGGACATGGAACAAAATAATATTGCTCTACATGTTTCTAGGATGCTCACAAAATGTAGGGCAGTGAGAGAAATCACAGAAATAGCCATGTTTTCCTTTTACAACTTATTTTTGAGATGGGGAGTGTAGCTTAATGGTAGAGCAGGTGCCTAGGACACAGAAGGCCTTGATTCAACCCCCACACTGAAAAAAATTTAAAAATAAATAAACTTTACTCTTAAGGTAAAAGATAAATATACTGCTTAGTTTTTTTTTTAAATGTTACTCAGTTCTTGTCATTAACATCTACACAGTCATAGTATTTCATAAATGGTTTTCAAGAAGAGCTTTTACTGCATACATCCATGCTTTCATTATATCTATTCCTTAAAGTTATAACAAAATAGACAATTTTAGCAAAAAGTCAAACAACAAAGATGAAAAGATAAAATGTGCATTGTAGTACTATAAATATCAGTTATCTACAGTTCACAAGAGATTAGTTTCCAATAATGAGTTAACAGCTTAGTTAACTAGTTTACAAGATAACAACTGTTCCATGTAGGTGACTTTTATCATAAATTCTAGTTCTTATTCTAGTAATGTTTTAGGATCCAAGACAAGGCGCTTTCTTTTCTTGTATTTACCTCACTATAAAATGGGAACAAATTTTAGCTCTTGATTCCATATTGGTTTAGATTAGGACAACTTCAAAAATTAGTTACGTGCAGACATACCTTCAAAGAAGTTAAAATCTATCAAACAACGTGTTTGATTGTGATCCCTGGTAGAAGTGTATGTGTTTGTGTGTGCATGTGCGTATGTGTTTCTGATTTCTCCTTTGTATTTATACAAAAGCATCTCTTTGGAATTCCTGCTACTTTTCTCTTTTGTTAGTAAATATCTTGAACTAGTGTTATGACTTTAAAAAGAAAGTTATTTAACTTTATAAAGGACAGTATTGTATCATTTGTTTTTATCCTTTTTAACATGAGGTTGCCAAAACTGCAAAAGTTCTATATCTAGAGGGAGAGAATCTTACTTCATTTTTTAAAACTAGGAATATTAAATAGGCAAATGTAAACCAGGTTCTAATCTTTACTCGCAAAAGTTATAACAAATTAGTAATTTTTGACTGTTCCAAACTACACTTTTGTTAGTTTAGTGTAAATTAAACATAAATTTGGCCTTTCTTCGCTAATTCAGGTGTGTTTAGCCAGATTCACAAAGGTGAAAGAAATGAAACCATCACATTACAAGAATAAAATATCATATTTTTATTCTTGCTTTTCCACATTCCTTCTGAATTCAATGTTTTAAACAGTATCTAGAAAGATAGCATATGCCAATGAAACTTTAAAAGGCTTCTTAAAAAAGTGACACTATGAAATGCTAAACATTTCTTGCTACTGGATTACTAGATTTCATGATCTACATCAGGGACTGTCTTTAATCAGGGCATATTATAAATCAAACAATCTAGCTTTTGAGAGTTTGTCAGAATTCCATGTAGGAAAATTTCAAGATGAATATATACATTTTAAAATAATTTTCTTTCTTTTTAATTAGAACAATTTTAGGATGTGGTGATACATCTTGTAATAGTCAAACCTGGGTCCAATCAGCATTTGGAATGAGAGACCTCAAAGGAAATTCTAGAATTTTTAAAGAAAGTCATATAGGTGATTCAATATAGAACATTCTCACAAGTCAGAAGTGCTGAGGGTTGAAGCATAGTACTATTAAAAGTGTTATCTTTCTACTATGCGGGTGCAGGGATGCTCTAACTACCTTTAAGCCCAAATTCTAAATCAGAAATTGTCATTTCATACTACAGTATTTAAATTTTTAGAGCAATCAGAAGAGCTACTCTTTCTTCACTTCCTGTATTTACAATTAATGGTCTGATCAATACATATATTCTACCCTAAATAAGGTAAGATCTAAGGCTGAAAATGTCCTATTATATATCCTATGCTTTAGCGAGGCATATAACAATCTTATTCTAATCCAACAGTATGTTTTCCATGCAAAGATATTAGGAATCAATGTAACTTATTTGTAATCCCAAATTCTGGGCTATATCTCTAAATGAATCCTGTAGAGTCATTAAATCAATCTTTTGGCAATAAACCAAGTATTTGAAACCACCTTTGTGGTCACCAACAAGGATTATAAGGATTGGGTTTTGATTATCTTAATATCCTCCTCAGTAACAATGCCAACGCAACTACTGAAGTTTTTATAATTTAAATCTTTATTTACTATTTCATCAAATATGACATCCCTCCGATTCCTGTCCAAAGGGCTATTGCCAATGCTATATCCAAGGAAAGTTCTCTGGCTGAAAGTCATATTGATTGATTTGTAGGAGACTGACCCATGGACATAGAGTACCAGCACACTGTCTGGGCTCATCAAATTTTCTCTGGTGAATGCTACTGTCCCTGAGCACATCCATTCAGACCATATGGTTCTTATTCAGTCCTTGAATGGTTTATTCAGGCAAAAATCCAATGGCTGTAATAGCGATGTCAGACCCCCCAGGACTCACGCACAGATCAGTTTTTAATTTTTTGGCCATATTTCTTACTCCATCTGCTAAATGTGCATGGAGCAGTTCCCATACTTACATGGAACATTTGTGGAACTGCACCCTGGGCAGGGATCCCATATCTTTTGCAGCCAGAATTTGACGAGATCATCATGGATCCAATCCTCTGGATATGTCTATGCTATCACTCAAGCAATATTTCTACCCCCTCCCTTTTAAAAAAAGATTTATTCAGAAAACTCTGAGCAGCTTTGGTTTTATTCTGCTGGCTAGACAGGGTGTATGTTTTTTCTTGTTTCTTTTGATGAGAGTAGTTTTGAAATTCAAGAGTTAAGATCAGAGGTTGTGAATATTCCATTCATGTCTCTGAGATACACAAACTCTTATACTCTCTGATGCTAATTGACGCCACTTAAGACAGTCTGGCAATGAATTATCTGCCCATCATCATCTAATATCAATACTGGAAAAAATAATAATGAAAAGTAATGATGACACTCTAGTAACATACAGTAGCTTTCCTCAAAGGAAGCCCACAAAAAGCTCATGAAAATATTGTCTCATTCTATCCTCACTATATTTCTGAGAAATATGTAGAAATGTTTTCTCTTATTTTATAAATTCCATTATCTTACCAATTGTCACACTTTTACTTTAAATATACTTTTACCTCAGTGTTCTGCCCATGTTGCTTTTTTATTGTGATTCCTGAGCTAAGAAATGTTACAAGTACATAAATGAAAAATCCATTTGGCATTAAAATACATTTTTGGCACCTATCTCAGACTTAGTAACCTACTTATTTATTGTGACTATGAGAAATTGCTTTTTCCTATGCAAAATTTCTCATTGTAAGATAAAGTAAATCGGAGTCAGTATTAAGGGGCAAAGATTTCATTTTTGGAACAAGGCAGACCTAGGATGAAATAGTAGCTCTACTATTAAATTGCTCAGTAATCTTTGGCTCCTAAATCATACTTTTCTCATCTGTAAAACAGAGTTTAAACAGTACCCAACTCAGAGGATTTTTGTTAACATTAAACAGAAGAATGATTGTAAAGTACCTAGCAATATATGCCTAGCATAGTATCAGTACTTTTAAAATATTCATTAAAATTACCATCACTGTAACTGGGAATGTCAACTATTTTTAAATGGCAAATTTACAGACTAACAAAAGTTGATAAAATTAATTGGAAATTCCCCTTTAATTTTGTTGGTAGAACTTTGCATGGATATTTTGCTTCAAGTCAATATTCTAAGCTCTGATTTAATTTCCAAAAAGATATACCTCTAAATGTAAAGTCTACATTTAGCAATAGTAAACATGCTTCTCTCTTAAGGAAAAAATAACAGAAACCACCAATAATAAAAATTAATACAGTAAATAATACAGTAAATACATTTAATAAAAAATAAATTGATAAGTGTTCATCTTATGTATCTAGATTTTTTCTGTTGTTTTTCTTAAAAATGTAGATTGATTTAGTTCTCTGAGTCTTCATAAATTCAGTTTTGAGGATGCTTTGAGGGTCTTCTATATTTTTTCTTTTTTCTCTTCCATTCCAGTAATCTGCATTTATGGGGGGTTTTTTCTTATGTTCATTCATTTTAAGACTTATTAGTGCCATTCCTAAAATTAACTCCCATGTTTCTAGAAGTATGACCAAGATTTGTTTTATGGATTAAATTAGATGGTAATAGCCAATATATTGAACTTATGCTGGTATACTCTAATATTGTGAACAAAAACGACCATTTGACACAAATCTTTGCTACGCTTACAAGGTCGTTAAGTAGTTTTTCATGCAGTCCAGGTTGTTCTTTGGAGGTATGTCAGGAACTAGCAATGGTCCAAAGTCAGGGTAAAGGGCAAGCAAGGAGCTCTATAAGCCACTATTACTATTTTTTTTAATGAATAGATTTAAATTCTGTAGATTTCATTTGAAGAAAGGATTTAGGGATCCAAAAGTTGACAATCATTAACCTAGATTAACAATGTGAGTCTTTAGAAATCAAATACATTTTGTGCCCATATTAATTGCTTTCTTATGTGTGTTTATTTCTAATTATGCTTAGGAATAATTATATTTCTCCTCTTTTTGCTTATCTAAATTTAAGTTTAATACCTTTAGTTTTAACATGATTTGAGAGTGTTTTCTGAGTATCCCTTAAAATTATAATTTCTAAGAAATATGTCACTTCTATCCTTTGTGCATATAGCTATAAAATATGACATTTGGGGGCCCTTCTATTTAGCAGAAATGATAAGAATTTAAATATGTTTTTACAATTTAAATGGTGAGGTTGAGCCATGTGTTCATGATTATATCTTATAAAATGCTTCTAGGAGAGCTCTGAGGTGTTTAAAAGGAATTTGTTATGCTTTTGTTTAAAAAATAAAGTAAAATAAAAAGCCATTAGGCCTAGTGAGAGTTTTATTCTAGAGAAAGAGAAACTGGGGCCCAAACACTAGATCAAAGTGTAACAGTCAATGGCAAATAAAGAAGTAGATTCTCACTGTGACTCTGCCTCCTTACAGCTGTGGTATTTCTTCTAAGTACAGACTGATACAAATTGCTATTTATTGTTGACACAAATTGTTGGTTCCAAAATAAACCTAGACTGTCCTTTCAAGAATGTGGTTCCTAATATTTGCTAATAGCTCAGTGAAAAAAGAAGGAATTTTTGGTAGTGCACGAAGATCTCTGTATTTTTATTGGCTATGTACAAAATCTAAAAAAAAAAAAATTCTTAATCCTTTTTAAATGACCCTAGCAATTCATATATTTAGCCCAATTTACCAGCATTCCCAAGCCCAGCATGGAAAAGCTATCAACATGGCACTAGGTCATAGGTCCTGAATGAAGCCATCAGCAAGGATTAATAAACTATGACAGCTGCCTAAAAGCTTTCATTCTTTTTATGTAAACATCCCTCTGCAAACTGAGATTCATTATAATCTTTGTTGAAAGTAGCACAGCTAACATGAAAGAAGTCAGAACTGAGAACAGATGACAAGTAGTAGTACTTTAAATCTAGTGCATGACAGTAAGTCCTAGAATTTACAAATGTAACAATTCCTAGAGAATTTCAGAAGTAGCATACATCTATGTTTATCTGATTGAACAATTGTTATTAATATTTTTTTTAAATATTTTTGAAAACTAGACCAAAGAAACTAAAATTATTTAGTTCTAATTTCTATGTTCAATAAACTGTATTATTATTCATCTACTATTAGTGCTTTCTTATACTGTAATTTAAAAGTGACTTTAGTTAGACTACAGTCCATTTTTGGGTCACATAATCTTTTCTAGGAATCATTCACCAGAAAAAAAACTAGGTTATATTATATGACTTAATAGGCTATATCATATGACTATAAAATTATTGGTGAGGGGTTTTTTTGGTACAAATATAGATATACGTACCAACAGAAAGGAGAAACTGACCTGGAAAATAGTTACTCAATGTAATTTACTAATAGATGCATATTTGCAGATATCAAGATATGACAATAAACCATCAGGGTAGGAATTATTATTTTATAGTACATTTTAAATTAATACACAAGATTTCCTAGTGGTTGAATATCAGCATTGGAAATTTATCAGTTTAGCCTACATGTCAAACAGCTAGTAAATCACTTGAGCTTACCCCCTTTTCAATATTCCCAGTTTGACATAGTGTCCCCTCAGCTGCTGGAATACTGTTGGTGACACAGCGGTTGCTTTTGCTGAGGCACCACAGCTCTCTACACACTTCCTAGGAAAGAAGGCAAAAGCAAGTTGATCAGGAATAAAATACACTTACAGTCATTCAGCATTACTTATAAAGAGACCCCAGGCCTCTTGTTGCTGTTGTAGCATCAGAGATAAGGATTTTGAAGGAGGTTCTTATAGAATTAAGGTTACTTATTTTACAGAATCATTTAAACATCCAGTAGACAAAGTATGTCTTAGCTTTTAATATTGATTAGGATCTTTTTACAATGATGTACAACAATTTCATTAATATAAAAGAGTAGGGAAAAGAATAACTTGGAGGATGGAAATAAATGTTTATTATACTCTAAAATACACAATAGTACAAACACCAATTTTTAATAGTGTTGCTAAATAAACTAGGCAACTAGAACTTCCTAGACCCACTACAGTATTCAAAGAAAGATAATTTTAATATAGAAGATCGGTCTATCAATCTATCTATCTACCCATTTACCTAGAGAAGGACAGAGAAAGGGGGAGAGAGATCATGGAAATGAGTAGAAAATTAATATATGAATTTGAATAAATATAAAGTATATGTTTATAATTAAAATATGATAATCTGGAGTGTAGAGATAAATTAATATATATTTACTTAATTTGCTTTTTTTTTTTTTTTGGTACCAGGGATCGAACTCAGGACGTTGCACTTACGAGGCAGGCACTAGGCCACTGAGCTACATCCCCAGCCCATACTTCCATTTGCTTTTATTCCCCAACTGTTCTTTTAGCTCTCAAAACACAATTATAAGAACTCAGACACATAAATACAACTCAGAAATAGAGCAGTAAAATATTAAAGTCACTTAAGTAAACTGATCCTACAAGTAGTAATGCCCTGCATGACACTATTGAAAATTTGAAGATATTTCTTTGGGTCCCTTTTAGGGTGCTTCTTATAAGGCTGAAAGGGAGACATAATACCTATTAAGCTTTAAACTACTTTTTAAAATTTTTAAACTCCATTTGGACACCTAATAAGCAAGAAAAAAGCAAGACAGAAAAAGACCATGTACTGTGAATCATAATATAAACAAAATTTTCCTTTTATAATACAATTTATTACAAAATCTACTTTTCTTTCCAAGATTTTTTTTTTGGGGGGGGTACTGAGGATCAAACTTGGGACCTTGCACTTGTGAGGCAGGGAGCAGAACCACTGAGCTAAATCCCTGGCCCTCTAAGATTTTTAATATACTACTTCAGCTTTCTTTTTCTATGGTATATGATTTTTATTTTATTCTAAATATATTCTTTTAGTTTAATATTTTTAAAGCACTGGGAGTAGCATTTAAGGGCTTCAAACTACCATCGCATAAGTAAAGTCTACTCAACTTCAAAGAACAATGAGTTCACAAAACAGAAGCATTAGGGCCAGGAGATTCCTCAGCGCCACAGCACCTTCCTGGCAAGTGCAAGGTCCCAAGTTGGATCCCCGGTACCAAACAAAAAAAACAGACAAGCATTAATAGAATAGTATATATGAAGATTATTAATTTTTTAAATCCCTGAATAATACTTTCAATCTCTTATGTTTTTGTTTTTTTGTACCGGGGTCTAACTCAGGACCTTGTGCTTGGGAGGCAGGCATGGTGCCACTGAGCTAAATCCCCAGCCCTCTTACATCTTTATTAGGCTTAAATCTTCCTTCAGACAAATTTAAAAGGAGACAAATGTTTACTTCAGATGAAACAATGCAATGATAATTCTATTATTTAAGAGGAAAAACTCATAACTTCAATCAGGAAAACATACAATTTAGATAACTTACAAAAACTATTTCTCAAAGATCCTTGAAAAATATCTACTCACACTTAACTTTTTTCAAACCTTAATTCAAGATTCACAGTACACCCTTTTAATGTTCAGAGAATGATGTATTTTGAAAGATAAATTTCCTTATCTAACAAGAATTTGTTACCTTAGTGAGCTCCTAGGAGTTCAAATTTTGGTAGGGCATTAACTTCTCACAGGTCATTATATAAAATATGGAACTGGAAATCTATGTTGGGAAACACTCCCAAGTTGTTAACTAGTCAAGGAAAAGCCTCTGAAGAGTTTTCAAATAGCTCTTACAATTGAAATCTCAACTTGAGTAAGAAAGATTTTGATACCCAATTTAGGAAGATTTTAAAAAGATACTCCCTAGAAAGATAAAAAGCAAGAAAAAAATTCATTCATTTCATACCAAATAAGCAAGAAGTATGCATCCTGAGATTACTTAAGAACAATTTCATACTTTCAAAATACCCATCTTTCTCTAAAACTGTTGGAATCTAGAACACGAATGATATATTACATAGATGGATTAGTCTCACTCACACATAAATATTAGTTATTGAATAAACACTATGACGCAGGTCTCAAAATCTAATAAAGTTAAATGCATGCCAAAATATTTTGCCTCTTGGGAAATTTGTATAATTTCCACCATAGCAGGCAGAAGAATGGCTACCATCAAGAAATCAACCAATAACAAATGCTAGTGAGGCTGTGGCAAGAAAGGAACCCCTCTCCATTGTTGATAGGAATGTAAACTAGTACAACCACTATGGAAATCAGTATGAAGATTCCTCAAAAAGCTAAAAGTAGAAATTCCCACTTGACCAAGCTATTCCTCTTCTAGGCATCTTCCTAAAGGAGTTAAAGACATCATACCACAATGGTGTATCATACCAATGTTTATAGCAGCACAATACATAATAGCTAAATCTTGGAAACAGCCTATATGTCCATCAACAGATGAATGAATAAAAAACTGTGGTATACACAAAGGAGTAGTACTTTGCCATAAAAAGATGCATCTTGAGACCATAACGTTAAGTGAAGTAACTCAGATGCACAAGCTTGAATATGAAAAATTATATATATAGATATACATTATATATACAGATAATGAGAAAAAAAAGTATTCTAATCCAGTGCAGACAATGAATATAAAAGTGTAGCTTGACTTACTAAAATTGTCTTACATTTTTTATACGTTCTTTGGCCTATTGGTCTTGTTTTCAATTTTTATACAGTATATGAAAATTTTATAATCTCATATAAGATAAATAAATGAATCTGATGCTGGAAAAATAAAAGGGGGTGGGCCAGGGATTTAGCTCAATGGTTCCAGTGAATGCCTTGCATACACAAGGTCCAGAGTTCAATCCCTGATACCAAAAACTAAATAAATAAATAAATTAAATAAAAAGGGTGGAGGGAGGAGGGGAAAAGAAGGGAATTGAAATGTGTTATTTACAGGTACCAATCCTCTATAGTGCACATAATCATTATGTACTGAAAACATGTACTAATAAAAGTTAAAAAGAAATTTAAAAGCACACACACACATGAAGTGATGGGGTATAGTTAGTGACAGGAGATGATGACTTTTTTGATTAACCAGCAGTTTAGCTTAGAAAAGCAGTTTCTTTCACATATTTGTGACTCCTGATATAGGAAGATTTGTTAAGATTAGTACCATGACTTCTATGAATTAATACATCATTATCTGTGTGTTATTAGGCTTCCCTCTGTAATACTAACTTTCATTTTGGGAAAATTCTCTAGGGGAAATTAGAATTTAAGAAATGAGAGAGAAGTTATCAACAACCCCAATGAGGGACATTTCTGTTACAAAACAGTGAAAATTTGAAATGGAATCTTTAATTTTCATGGGATCAACTTCTTAAATAGGTGGATTGCCTGGCAATGCAAAAGTGATAGTAATTTTCACCTTCATTTAAGTATAGTTATTGAGAATCTACTCTGCACTAGCATTATGTTAATGTTATGAAAAAATAATACCATCACTTACAATTCATGAAAACTAGAAAGAAGGTAGGAAATAGTCACACATGCAGCAATGGATTGGTATTACTCTATGATAAAGTTTTTCATTTCTATGACAAAATTAGAACAATGATGTCAATATGTCAGGATTTTTTATGAAAGTAATTTTTAAAATTTTAATGAACTATAATTATTTTTGTTGTTGTTTCTTTGAGACAGGGTCTTGCTTTGTCGTTCAGGCTGGCCTTGAACTCACTATGTATCCCAGGCTCACCTTGAACTCCTGGTGCTCCTCCCTCAGCCTCCAGAGTGCTGGGATTACAGGCCTGCGCCACCATGCCCAGCGATAATTATTTTTTAAGTTTCATTCTCTCTTGATGTTACAATAGACTGAAGATTCCTAAAGTCATGGTCTGTGTGTTTATAACAGCCTTTACAGTATGTTGCTTTTTGGCAAAATTAAAAGTTAGCATTCTTACCTGGTCTGCAAATTTTTGAAGATAAGTTTTCTATGCCTACAAAAATCTAAAAGATTATAACCAATCCACTGCCCAAGACTTGTTAACAAATGTTTATTTAAATGCATCTGTGTTTACTGTGTCTTTAATGAAAACTGCTTCTTGACTACCTCACTAGTATCTTCTGAATTTCAATTTTTTCTTTTTAATATGTATCCAGGGATTATTCCGTCATCTTTCTGGAAACATTTATTTACTCTTTTTTTGAAAAATACTTTAACTTTGCTAGTCTAACCGCTGGCAACTGTAATAGTCTTTTTAGTTGCTTGCAAGAGTTTCAAGAATTTCGTCAGTGCTGTTTAATTGCTGTATCTAAGTGTTCTTTTCTTTATCTTCTTGAAACTCATGGTCTGAAGATTTGTTTTATTTTGTTTTGTTTTGTTGCTTTCTTTGATGCAGATTCATTCATCATGCCTTTTGCCTATTCTTCTTTCCTGGAACTCCTCATCAGTCTGTACTGGACCTTCTTTCACACATTATTTCTCTTATCTTGCCTTTCATATTTTTTTCTCTTGAGACATAAATTTTCAACCTCATTGTGAGTTACTTCTTTATATTGTTTATTATTTTGTGTGCAAGCTTTTCTTCAGCAAACATATTTTTTTCTTTCAATGTCCTGCACTTTCTGAGTTATAAAAGTATAGTCCACTGTATTTGCTTATATCATACATCCCAGGGTTATCACTGAACCAGTTTTCAT